AAGAGTGAGAGAAAAAGTGAGAAAGTAAGCTGTCAGGCCTGGGACTCAAACTGGTCAGCTATGTGGGAGTCTAGCGTCCTTAACCACCACGCTATCTGCCGGCCTCTAAATGCATTGTTTCATTTGTGTATAATCTATATTAACTATTGCTTTTAGAAGTAATTCTAGGTGTGACTATTTTTTAGAAGTATATAAATGTTACAAATAGTACATTTATAGGCAGTTCAGAGTTTTTGCTTTGTGGGTTTTTTGTTGTTGTTGTTTTTTAAGAGAGATTATTGCTATAGGGTGTGTACACTTGCTGGAGAGGCAGAAAGTGAGAAATGACCCCACAGGGGGGATTCCCTTGATCCCTTCTTCTCCATTCTCGGGGCTTTGGGCACATATCCCCACATGCCCAGCGCTTTGGGCAGGTCTGAGACTCGAACCATGGTCAACTAAGAGGGAGTCCAGCGATGTAACCATTATGCCTTCAGTTGGTCCCAAGGATTCAGCGATTTAACAGGTGGTTTGGTTTCTTTCATTTTTTCCCTTTAATTCTCTAAAGTGCTCCTTGTATCTTCAATCAATATATCAATTTGACGTATGTCTTTGTGGGCTATAGTATGGCTTAATGGTTGTGTCGCTGGACACCCACAGTTTCTCTGTCTCTCCAGCGAGTGCACATGGCCTATAGCAAAAATCGCTCTTAAAAAAAAAAAAGATAACTTTACACCTAAAACTCCATCTATTTTCAGATGAGGAAAGTAAGGGATAGGGCAGGACCAGCAGTTGGTGTAATGGCTGTGTTGCTGGACTCCCATGTAGTCCACTGCGGTTCAAGTCCCGGACCTGGTGCCTTAAACTCATGCTGGACTACTGTGTATGTGTGTGCCCAAGATCCTGAGAGGAGAATGGAGGAGAAGGGATTGCTGCATGGCCATCCCCCCTGGGGGGTGATTTCTTGCGTTCTGTCTCTTTGTCTCTCTCTTCCTGGCAAGTGCTCATGCTTTATAGGAAAAACCTCCACCACCAACCACCCCCCTCCCCCCAAAAAAATAAGGGTTAGGGCATTCATTGGCAGAATAAAGACAAGATCCCAAAACTTCCAGTGACTGAGTGTAAATGAGATACTTGATTTTTATGAGCTTATAATAATACAGAATACAAAAGTATTTAAAGAGAAACTGTATGTAGTATCCAGCTTAGTACAGGTAGTTTTGTATCAATTTCTGTCATGTTTTTGGGTAGCATACCAAATGTCGTGGTATTCATTGGGAAGAATACCTGTAAAGTTATTAAAGAAGCTCAGAAATGGTTGTATTTTGTAACTTTACCAGGCTTTAAGTGCTACCCCTTGTCCCCTGCTCCCTAATAAAAAAGTCTTTCTAGTCTGCAGGTCCTGGGTAAAACTTTGATGTCCAATATACGTTACATGACATAGTAATTTTTTTTCTTCCTTTTTCAGTGGAGAACAAAACAGTTTCATTTGGATTTGGAAGTAGCACAGGGCTGTCATTTGCAGACTTGGCTTCCAGCAATTCTGGGGATTTTGCTTTTGGTTCTAAAGGTAAGATGAGAGATTTTAATAATCTTGTTATAAAACTAAAGACAGCTAGTCCTTTTTTTATAATGATATAATTAAATTAGAGATTTCTCCCCTATTTCTACCTCTGGTTTGTTTAGTGTTTTAATAATGAAGGATTACATGTTATTATAGTTGTTGACATTTATTAATATAACCATAGGAATTTTCTCTTAATTTAGTATAAGTCATATTGAAAATCCTCTCCATCTTTTTTTTTTTTTTCTTTGAGAGGTTTTTGCTGTAGGGCACGTGCGCCCATCAGAAAGGGAGAGACAGAGACAGAAAGTGAGAAATCATCCCCCCAGGGGGAATAGCCATGCCGCAATCCCTTCTCCTCCATTCTTCTCTCGGGATTTTGGGCATGCACGCACATGCACCCAGCGTGAGTTTAAGCCACTGGGTCTGGGACTTGAATCGCAGTTGACTACGTGGGAGTCCAGCAATATAACCATTACGCTAACTGCTGGTCCCAAAATCCTCTCCATCTTAAAATACAGAATAACTTTTTTGGTTTGAGAATAACCTTGACTTTGTATCATTGTTCTTTTAACTATACTTTTAGATTCAATACGATTATTAATATAGTACAGTTAATACAATGTACTTCAGAATTTGTGACTACACTTTTTTTGAGAGAGAGGGTTTGGGTTTTTTGTTTGTTTTTTTGTTTTTGCTGTAGGGCATATGTGTTTGCCAGAGAGACAGAGACTGAGAGAAAGAAAGCAAGAAATACACACATACCCCCACCCGGTGATGGCTGTGTTGCATTCCCTTCCCCTCCATTGTCCTCAGGATTTTAGGAATGCACGCGTATGTGCCTGGGGTATTTCAGGTTGTCAGGTCTGAGTCTTGAACCTCAGTTGACCACATGGGAGTCCAGCACCTTAACCACTATGTTACCTGCTGGCTCATTGACTATGTTTTATAAGAAGATGATTTTATAGTTCTCTGTTTTTCTCTACCTTGGATTTCTGTGTTAACATTTTGCTAATATATGATGGTAAGTTTATAATTTTGCTTTCCCATTTTTTACCTAAGAATTTTTCTATTTTAGAACATTTTAGCACATTTCAAGGAATAAACCCATTTCATTTTTCTTTCAAGTTTATCAACATAAGGCTGTTCATCATATTTTCTCATTCTTATAATGTCTTTTGTACCTATTTATAGCACCACCTAAATATTTCTTGTACAAGATGTTTAATTTATGGAATAAATTATACTTAAATACATGCTTAAATAGTTAAGAAGAGAATTCCATTCAGAATACTCTTCCCTCCCATATATTTTCACTCACTTTCAGAAACATAAAACTTAGACATATTTTCCTCATGTATGATGTTACGTTGTAATTCATGGCTTCACTGGTAATAAATTTTAGGTTTATTTTTGTTTCATTAAATAGCTGAAATCAAAGGGTAAAATATAGCAATGCAGTAGGTATAATTATCTACACAAAAGTGCCAAATAGGGACCGGCAGATGGCGTAGTGGTTACATCACTGGACTTGCACATGGCTGACCATGGTTTGAATCCTGGACCTGGCAGCTTGAACTCTAGCCAGGCACGTGTTCATGCATGCCCAAAATCCTGGAGGAGACTGGAGAAGAAGGGATTGCAGTGTGACCATTCCCCTGGGGAGTGATTTCTCACTTTCTGTCTGTCTCTGTCCAGTGAGTGCACACACCCGATAGCAAAAATTTTTTCTAAAAATCTCTCTTTAGGGGAAAAAAAAAGTGCCAGATGAAAAATTGATGTGTTGGATTGCTTGTTACTCAGTGTAATCTTTTCAGAGTACTGCATGGCTATTACACACTGAAGTACGAAGTAGGTGAGACTCAAATACAGCTGTGTGCCACTTAACAAACGGGGTATATCTGGGACCAGCAGTTAGCATAATAGCTATGTTGCTGGACTCCCATGTAGTCGACTGCTATTCAAGTCCCAGACCTGGTGGCTTAAACTCATGCTGGCCTTGTGTGCATGCGTGCCCAAGATCTTGAGAGGAGAAGGGATTGCAGCGTGACCATCCTCCCTGGAAGATGATTTCTCACTTTCTGTCTCTCTGTCTTTCTGGCGAGCGCACACACCCTATAGCAAAATCCTCTCCAAAAAAGAAAAAAGGGGGGTGGGTGTATCTGATAAAAGTGCCTTTAGGTGACATTGTGTAAATGTCATAGTGTCAACTTAAGCAGACCTAGACAGTGTGACCCACTACACACCTAGGCTGCATACTATGGCCTGTCCTTCCACCTTCATCTTTATGGTCTGTCATTGACAGAAAACACTAACGTTTTCAGGCAGCATCTGACTTAGCATGAGAAAGCTATGCCGTAATGAGCCTTACTACCCCTGATAGTCCCTCTCCCTACACTGCTCCTTTTTAGTGAGATTATCCACCACACTCTTTTTAAAACTACATTTCTGGGACCAGCAGTTAGCATAGTGGCTATGTTGTTGGACTCCCATGTAGTTGACAGCGGTTCAACTCTCAGACCCAGTGACTACAACTCAAGCCGGGCACATGTGTGTGCATGCCTAAGATCCCGAGAGGAGAATGGAGGAGAAGGGATTGCAGCGTGGCCATCCCCCCTGGGGGGAGTGTCTTCTCGCTTTCTGTCTCTTTGTCTCTCTCTGTCTTTCAAAAATTTAAATGAAAAAGAAACAAAACTGCATTTCTTTTACCCTTTTTTTTTTTAGAGAAGATTTTAGCTGTAGGGCATGTGCGCTTGCCAGAGAGACAGCGAGGAATCATGCCTTTAGAGGGCTTGACCATGCTGTCCCTTCTCTTCCTTTCTCTTTTTGGGATCTTAAGCACACAGTGCACACGTGCCCAATGTGAGTTTTAAGCTGCCAGGTCCAGGCCTCGAACTGCGGTCAACTATGTGGGAGTGACATAGCCATTATAAACGTAAACACTTTTAATGTTGTTGGAGATTGGGTGTATTGATAAAATAATCTAAAGGAATAAAAAAAATTAAGACAATAGGCGACACTGTTTAAATATTCTAATTTATTCAACAGATAAAAATTTCCAGTGGGCAAATACTGGAGCAGCTGTATTTGGAGCACAGTCCACTAGTAAAGTTGGCGACGACGAAGATGGTAGCGATGAAGAAGTAGTTCATAATGAAGATATCTATTTTGAACCAATAGTGTCATTACCAGAGGTAAAGGGGTGAAAATTATACTAACAGCCTATTTTTCATTTTTGGTTTAAAACAACCTGGATTGCTTTGTAGTTTTGTTGTTCCTTGCATTTCTTTCTGAATATTTACAATTTGAAATGGAAGATAGTTTATTAGAATTTTAGTGTCAGGGCCAGCAGGTGGCCTGGTGGTTAAGTCACTGGACTCCCACATGGTCAATCACAGTTCACGTCCTGGACCTGGCAAGCTTGAAACTCACACTAGGCATGTGGGTGTCCAAAATCCTAAGAGGAGAATGGAGAAGGGATTGTAGTGTGGCCACACCACCCCATGGGATGATTTCTCACTTTTTGTCTCTGTGTCCCAGCAAATGCTCTCACTCTGTAACAGAAATCTCTCCCCTATAAAAAAAAAAAAAGTTTTAGAAGAGAAAAAAAAGGTTTTATTATTGAAGTATAAATTTTCTTCCTCAAGTTGTTTGTTTATTTGTTTTAATTTTGCTAATAGGCCCCTGCCCTTGCAAGAGAGAGAAAGAAAGAGACAATGTGAGAGAGACTGTGAAGAGAGAGAATGTAACAAAATACCCCTGCATGGAGACAGTCATACCATAATCCTTTCTCCTGATATCCCCCGCTTCAGGATTTCGAGTACCCATGGACACATGCCAGGCGTGTTTCTCAAAATGCTAGGTCTGGGATTCAAACTGCCCAGCTGACCTAGTAGAATCAGCTCTCTTAGCTGCCACACCTAGGCTGATTCATTTTTTTAAAGTTTCTATTTACTTGTTACTTAGTATATTTTATATGCAAATATTGGGAAGAAACAATTTTTTCATACATTGTTCACATAACATTCTGGGGACAAAAAACGTGACCTAGTTTCATACTTGCCAAAGTCCTTTCAGTAAAAAGTAACTTTACAGTTTTAGGACAAGAATATTGTCTTAGGAAAATCATTTGGTGGTTTTTCACCTTTAGTCTGTAAGTATTTTTTTTTTAAAGAATTATTTTATTTAACTTTATTTATTATTTATTCATTTGTTTATTTCAATTTGACCAGAGAGGGACAAAAGAGAGAGAGAGAGAGAAAGCAAGTTGCCAGGTCCAGGACTTGAACCATGGTCGGCCATGTGGGAATCCAGCGCCTTTAACCACCATGCCACCTGCCAGTCCCTAGTCTTTAAGTATTTTTTGAAACTTCTTCTATGAAGGAAGGCATTTAATTTCCAGAAGGAGAACAAATACTATATAAAAGATAAATATTGGTGCACTTTGACTTACGATGGGATAAATACCCATCATAAAATTGAATCATTTTAAGTCCATATTCTCTGACTTATGATGGGATTATGCTGTGATGAGTGCATTACAGTGGAAAAATTGTTGTTGAACCATCATGTGAAGACATCCATACTCATGGCCGATCAGGTCTTGCTGCCTCAACCAAATCATGTATTCCTAGCCCTGGGAAATGACCAGTTATCATGATACTGTAAATTCCATTAATGTTATCATAAAGACAGTATCTTAAGAGAATTAGGATCTTTGGAATTTGTGATGGAATTTATTATAAGCAGTAGCTTAGAGATAATTTCACTTACTATTACAGGTAGAAGTAAAATCTGGAGAGGAAGATGAAGAAATTTTGTTTAAGGAGAGAGCCAAACTGTACCGGTGGGATCGAGATGCCAGTCAGTGGAAGGAACGTGGTGTTGGAGATATAAAGATTCTCTGGCACACAATGAAGAACTACTATCGGATCCTCATGAGACGAGACCAGGTCTTTAAAGTGTGTGCAAACCACGTTATTACCAAAACAATGGAATTAAAGCCTTTAAATGTTTCAAATAATGCATTAGTTTGGACTGCCTCAGATTATGCAGGTGAGTTTCCACATTCAGAGGCTGCTGTTTATTCTTTGGTCTTTTCTGAAATCTGTAAACAACATATAAAACAATTCATAAAAGTTACTTTAATAGTAAGACTACGTTTTTATTCAATAGATGGAGAAGCAAAAGTGGAACAGCTTGCAGTGAGATTTAAAACTAAAGAAATGGCTGATTGTTTCAAGAAAAAATTCGAAGAATGTCAACAGAATCTATTGAAACTCCAGAAAGGACAGGTATCACTGGCAGCAGAGTTGTCAGCGGAGACCAATCCCATGGTGTTTTTTGATATTTGTGCAGACGGTGAACCTCTAGGACGGATAACCATGGAGTTATTTTCAAACATTGTTCCTCTAACAGCTGAGAATTTCAGAGCACTATGTACTGGAGAGAAGGGCTTTGGATTCAGGAACTCTATTTTTCACAGAGTAATTCCAGATTTTGTTTGCCAAGTAAGTACTAGCTACATCTCACAACTGACATCTAGAATAGTACACCACATTAACTTGCGAGACTTTCGTGGTTCTCCTTGACCTCATCCTATAGTTTTTTTTATGATTTCTTTAGGTTTTCCATGTGTTAGTTGCCATCACCACCCCATTCCCAATCCCTGCCAAAAACTTTCAACCTAATATGATTCCAATTTCTTTTCTTTTTTGGAAAAAATGTTTTAAAGAAATTATTTAATTTTATTTATTCATTCATTTATTTTAATTTGACCAGAGAGACACACACACATGGGGAGTGGGGCAAGTGAGAAAGGAAGCCACCAAGTCCAGGACTTGGACCATAGTCAGCCATGTGGGAGTGTCCAGCAGCTTAACCACCACGCCATCTGCCGGGCCCTCAAATTTCTAATATATGTTAAAACCTGCTAGAAACTGTGGACAGGAAAAAGACCTTTGTAATTTTTTAAAGAATTAATTATTATTTAATTTTATTTATTCACTCATTCATTTTTTAATTTGACCAGAGAGGCAGAGAGAAGAGGGATAGTGCAAAAGCAAGCCACCAGGTCTGGAACTTAAACTGTGGTCAGACATGTGGGAGTGTGCAGCACCTTAATAACCAGGCCACCTGCAGGTCCCAGCATTTTTTCCCTCTTTTTTAAAGAGGTTTTTGCTATAGGGCACACACATGCCAGGGAGACAGAGAGAGACAGAAAGCAAGAAATTACCCCCTGGGGAGAATGGCCACAATCCTTTCTCCTCCATTCTCTTCTTGGGATTTTGGGCACGCATGCACATTGCGCTTGGGGTGAGTTTCAAGCTGCCAGATCTGGGACTTGAACTGCAGTCGACTGTGGGAGTCCAGGGACGTAATCATTATGCCAACTGCTAGTCCCACAAACTGAATTTTTTAAAAATAATTTTATTTATTACTGTTACTTTCCTTAATTTGCTATAGGGCATGTGTGCTCACCAGAGAGAGAGAAATGTGAGAAAGCAAACCATCAAGTCTGGGACTCGAACTGTGATCAACATGTGGGAGTCCAGTGCCCCAAACACCATGCCACCTGCTGGCCCTCAAACTGCGTTGTTAAGGAAGCAGATGTGTACGATTTATTCTGCTATGATGATTTCTATGTATTTCTTTAATATTCTACTCAGATTCCTTTTAATTGAAATGTTTTTCAGGGTGGAGACATTACCAAACATGATGGAACAGGAGGAAAGTCCATTTATGGAGATAAGTTTGAAGATGAAAATTTTCATGTGAAACATACTGGCCCTGGCTTATTATCCATGGCTAATCGAGGCCGGGATACTAATAATTCTCAATTTTTTATAACGTTGAAAAAAGCAGAACATTTGGACTTTAAGCATGTAGTGTTTGGGTTTGTTAAGGATGGCATGGATACTGTGAAAAAGATTGAATCATTTGGTTCTCCTAAAGGGTCTGTTAGCCGAAGAATTAGTATCACAGAATGTGGACAGATATAAAATCATTGTTTTCAAAGTAAATTTTATCTGTATAAACAGTTGAATAGAAGCTTAGCTGTCACAGACGATCTGATGATTATGTTCAGCTTTTGAAAATGGACGTTTCCAATGTACAAATGTAAAATTACAGCTTATAGCTGTTGTCTCTTTTTACTGTGTTATAATTGACTTTGCATGGTGTGAAATAAAAGTTTGAACACTGGTGTATTTCAGGTGTACTTGTGTTTATGTACTCCTGACACATTTGTATTAAAATGGAATCATACGAATCTTGTTTAAAGCAATAGACCTTCACAAACTATTGAAGGAATATGATATATGCAATTTAACTATAATCCCTTTTTAGATATTTGGATTTCCTGCATGGATATACTTAACTATTTGAGTAAAGGGACCACTGCTTTGATAATTTTATTTTAGATTTGAGATAATATTTGGTAATCTAAACTATCGGTGTGCTCATTTATGCATAAAGAAGACTCATTTATAACTGGGTAGAGCCACAGAAGGTAGAGAGTTAACCAAAGTGCTCTTTTCTAATCTTTACACCTCCTGTTGGGTTACACGTTAACTTTTAAGTAGAGTACCTTTTCTTAAAATATGTAGCTTCCTTGGATTTTCAAAGATATTAAATTAATTCTTAAATTTAAACAAGTTGACTTAGTTTTTAAATTTTTTTTTTTAACTTTCTGTCATCTGTCTCTACTACCTCAGAAACTGCAGCTTGGTTCCGATGATAGAAATTGAATTTTTCCTTGCAGTTATTGTGATAACAGATGAATATTTTTTAAAAGGTCTATACCATGTTCTTTGGTTAAAGATTTGCTTTATACTAGATTGTTGCAGTACCTTTTTCTGATGAATTTTGTAGCAGAAATAAAGTGTCAATTGATAACAGCCATGCCATTTAAAAAAATTCATTACTTGTGCATCTAATTGTCTGTTCATTCCAGTACTGGAGGTAAAGTAAGGAGGCCAATTAAAAATCAGTAAGCTCAAACTGCCACATAATTACCAGAGCTCCCAAAGAAGTAAGTCTTCTCAAATTGGTTGAAAATGTATTTGGAAATGGCTTGTGTCAAAAGTGAAGCATGATCGGGAACCAGCAGTTGGCGTAAAGGCTGTGTCGCTGGACTCCTACATATTTGACCGTGGTTCACGTCCTGGACCCGGTGGCTTCAAACTCACACCGGGCGCGTATGCGTGCGTGCCCAAGATCCCGAGAGGAGAATGGAGGAGAAGGGATTGCGGTGTGACCATCCCCCCTGGGGGGTGATTTCTCGCTTTCTGTCTCTATGTCTCTCTCTGTCTGTCTGGTGAGCACACGCGCCCTACAGTGAAAATCTCTCCAAAAAAAAAAAAAAAAAAAAAAACACCAC